CCTATCTCTAAAATAAAAAAAAACATTATCCGGGCATGGTGGCTGCGCCTGTAGTCCCAGCTACTCAGAAGACTGAGACAGGAGGATCTCTTGAGCCCAGGAGTTTTGAGGTTGCTGTGAGCTATGATGACACCAGTGTACTCCAGCCCCACTAACAAACAGAGCTAGACCCTATCTCCAAAAAAAAGAAAAAAGCAACTGTGTTAGCAGTTTGATTATTCCATGGTTTTTAATCGACCCAGGGGATGCTGTGATATGGAGGGACCAGTAGTTACAAATTCAACTGAGCCCTGCTCTTGGGCCCTGTAGGTGGCTCCTAGTTTCTTGATATGACAGACACCTCTGAACAGTTTGGAGCACATCCTTGGTTGTTTCCTTAGGATAAATTCCAAGAAAGAGGAAATGTGTAAGCAGAGCATAGCTACACTCCCATGGCTGTTGATCTGTGAGGCTCGGATCGTGTTTAGACGGGGGAGCTCAGGGGTTAGGAAAGTGCATGAGTGACAACAAATTGTAGACAACCTAAATGTCCAAGAGTAGGGGCCAGTCCTCCCACACGGCGGGCACCGCACAGCTGGTACACAGAGAGGACAGAGGACGGGGACGTGTCTGGGAGGGACAAGGCAAAGACAGCAAGAAGTAAACATTGGAATATTAGCCCCAGTTTTATTTAAGAAGGAACGGGTTGGAGGATTAAGGGTATTTATTTATATATTCTTTATAAACTGTAGAGAATAGACACAAACTGCTAACGGAAGGACTGGGTTTCCCCTTTCCATGGTTTACATGTTCTATATTTCTGTGGTATTTGAATGGCTCACGGGACACTATCAGAGTTTTAAGGTAAAGAACAACGAAGGGCCCTGGAGCTGGGGCTCGTACCCCTCCTGGGGACCAGGCAGGGCCAGGCCCACACGCTCCCCTCTCCCTCCTCAGGCCCAGATGATCTTCCTCAACTGCGGCCACGTCTGCTGCTGCCCGCAGTGCTGCCAGCCGCTGCGCACCTGCCCGCTGTGCCGCCAGGCCATCGCCCAGTGCCTCCGGATCTACCACAGCAGCTGAGCGCCGCTGCCCCGCCTCGGCCCCTGCAGGCCCCGGCCCCCACTCACCCCATGTTGGCCAGACTAGTACAAGGCCGCCCTGCCCTGGGCCCTTTCCCCATAGCCCGGAAATCCCCCTTGAGCTCCAAGCACGCCTCGCCTCTGCCAGGTGGGGGCGCCCCTGACCTGAGGCATTGCTGGTCTGAGTACTGTGGGGGGCGGAGCGGGGGTGGCTGCACCACCACCGAGCTCATGGCTCTGCCTCGTCCCAGCTGCGTGACCGTGGGCGGGGAGGAGCTTAAGGTCCTCACCTGTGGAACGTGCACAGTGCCGCCCACTCTGCATGTGGAGGGCAAGCAGGAGGGCCTTGGCTGGGCATGAGGGATGGCCACAGGCCATCGGGGCTGTCCTGGGAAGGTGTGCAGGGCTGGCCTGTGCTCACAAGTGGTGCCAGCCCCACTGGGACCTCTCTCTGCTGCTCCCCAGTGCTCTGGGCCCTTCCCACTCCCCACAGCTGCACCCTCCTCGCCACCCCATGCAGCGCAGCTGACCCAAAGCAGGAACGTCAAGTCAATAAATCCATCTCAGCGTCTCCTTCAGAGTCATCACCAGGTCCCGTGGGAGCCCAGGAGAGGGAGGGGCTGGGGCTGGGGCTGGGGTGGAGGGCAGCCTTTTGGGGAAAGGGGCCAGGAGTGTGCTGTACCTCAAAGGACAGAGCAGGGCTTGAGCTGTTCCTGAATGAATGAATTTGAATGAATGTCGAGTTAGCCAAGCCTCCCCTCTCCACAGGGAGAGAGACCAGGGCCCAGAGCGGAGAAGGGCACTTGGAGCCAAGTGATGGCAGTGCTTGTCTCTCCACAGGCAGGTGGCCCTGGGGCCCGTGCTATGTGCCCCATGTATGGTTGTTACCCAGAGGCTGGGGGGTAAATGCTTGGGGCCTTGCAACTGGGTTTGGAGCCCAGAAGCGTCCTAACTCTTAAGTCCGTGCAGCCTTGCAGGTTGTCTGTTGCACAGTTCTAGGAGCCACGCACACACTGTTGCTGTAAAGGTGCGTGTTGATTACACGTTTGGGCAGATGGTTTTTAGCCAAGGGCAGCCTTTTCTTTGGGCTGGTGTCAGGCTTGCTCGGGATGCGTAGGTTCTGCCTCCAGCTCCTTCAGCGACCCTGGCCAGACTCTGGGCTTTGGTTTCCCCATGCGTTCAACACGGGACACGAAGGGTCCCTGACTTAGGCTGGTGGCCTGCAGGGGGCGCCGAGGTGCGGCGTCCACAAGAGCAAGCTGGCAGAAGGGCCTGCCTCGCTGGGACCAACTTCACGCAGCACTGCCCTGGCGGGGCGGATGCCCTCATAGCGTGAGCCTGCTTTCTGGGGCGGGAGCTGGTGCCCCTTCCTGTGTAGGACCCCAAATTTAGGCTCATGTACCCCATAGGCAACCCAAACCAAACACTGTGATACCGGTGTTTGGAGATAAAGAAAGGTTTATTTCATTTGGCCAAAGCAAGAAGACGGGAGAGTAAAATCTCTCAAACGAAAGGATGAGGGATAGGGAGCTTTCCTGTGGTGGGGAGTGAGGACATGTGTGGCTGGGTAGTGAGGGAGGGGGAGCCTCAGGACCCAGCAGGATGTCTGTGTTGTCTGTAGTCCCAGGTTACACCTGGAGTAACCAGACTTCTGGGTGTCAGCAGCAACTTGCAACTTTTTAAAGGGCTTTTCTTTTTCTTTTTTTTTTTTTTTTTTGCAAAACAGATTTTTCTTGCAACCCTCTTTCTGCTTGATAAAGAAACAGTGTATCAGCAGTTAATTACCGTTGAGAACAGCAGGTGCTGGGCAGGAAACTAGCAGTTAACATGTATGTGTATAAGTCAAATGTTGTATTATTTCAGTGATTTATATAAAATATTGCATTTTATAAATATATTATTTTAGTCATTAAAAAAATGCCAGGGTACTAATATCTCAAGGGGCCTGGCTACATTCCCGCATTTCACCCTGGGGATCTGATGGTTCCCCCTCCCCTCAACACCCTCCAGGGCTCAGCTCGGCCAAGAGGGGAGACCCGGGCCTGTGGCAGGCAGGGCCACTTCGGGGAGCAGTGTTTGAGGATCTTCCCAACTCCTCACTAGGACCCAGGGACCAAGGACTGTCATCTTCCCTCTTGGGGAAGAGCTGGAGGCTCAGTTAGTAACTTGCCATGGGCAACAGCCAGGCAGAGTTGCACCTGGCCTCTGGCCCCACACCCTGTCTCACCCCAGCCCTGTTGACAGAAAGGCTCAGACCCAAGCCCTTGGCCACCACAGACCGACTGGCACCAGGGAAGCCCACATCCCCCAAGGTGACTGGCTGCCGCCCCACCCAATAGGGACATGTTTTTACTCAACGGTAGGGCAACCCACCCCCACCAGCTGCCAGGAATTGCTGAGGCGTCCCTGTGCCACCCGACCTCAGCCACGGTTGCCCACCCTCCTGGGCGTCGGTGTACACAGGAAAGGGTGACGATGACACCACCCCTCCTGGAACCTTGCGGCTCCTGGTCCCACACGTAAAGTGCCCTATAAATGCTAGTGACTGGTCAGGAGTCCTGAAAGATCTGGCGGCGCCATCTGGACCTGAGGCTGCCCGAGGAGCACTCCGCACAGTCTGGCTGAGGAAGCCACCAGAAGGCCGTTCACCATGGACAAATCCCTTCTGAGCCTCAACTTCCTCCTCTGTAAAACGGGATAATACAAGAACTCCGACCGTGGACCTACAGGTACTCAGGGAGGTGATGAGCCCAGAAAGCCCAGCCGTAAGGGGCCTGGACAGTCCTCAGCCCCCACCTCCCCCGGCTACCTCTCGCACCACACGTGGCAACTGGCTTTAAATAAAGCATTTATTGATTAGTAGAAGCTTGAACAGTTTGCATAATATTTTCAATACAATATCTGGGAAGGATTATTGGAAACCTCCGAAGGCACTAGGGCATCTGACAGTGTCAGTAGGAGAGGTTAGTGACACGGCTAAGACCAGGGCTGGGGGCTAGGGGGGTGGTCCCTGAGCACCAGCCACTGCTGCATGTCCTGTGGGTCTAAGGCCCCCGTCCTGGAGAGTAGGTCTGGGGGACAGAGGATGCAGGGTGAGAAAGGGGACCCACCCCAGGGACCTTGGAGTCAGGTTCTGCCCTGCCCCCCCCCACCCCAACAGCAGTAGGGGAGGCCCTGGGGTGGGGTGGCCGAGCTGGGGCACCTTGGCTTGACCCCTGCCCCCAGGAACAGGAAGGTATGAAAGAGATGATGGCGAGGCCCGACTCCCAGGACATCTGAAGAGGGGCCTGGAGTTTTCAGTGGGAAGTGACCTGGTGACTCAGAGGCAGCAGAGGCCAAGCCACAGCCCGACCCCAAATCCTCCGAGAGGGCCACCTGCAGTGTTTCAGGGGACACATCCCCTCCCTCTGCCCCTCAGGAGCCTCCTCTGCTGGGGGCGTCGGTGAGTACCTCCTAGGTGGCCCCGAGGACAGAACCACACCCCCTAAAGCCCTCCTGCTCCAGCCCAAAGCACGAATGTGGGCACAAGAAGGTGGGGGATCCTAGAGGCCTGTGGGTCCCAGGCAAGTAGGGAGAGGTGGGGTGCACAGGGCCTCTCGCCCCACCATGTCGGCCTCACCCACTCGCCTCCAGCACCTCCCAGAGGTCAGCTCCCTCTTTCCCTCGGGACACTTCCCCTCCACACCCCAGCACATTGCGGGCCTTTCTCATTTCATCCCAGGCCCCCTGCACAGCCCTCTCATCACCCATCGTCCCCCAGCACCCCAGCCTGGCCATCCCCTCCTTCCATCTCCCCTCCCTCACGAGGCTGGCGGCCACTGTGAGGCCAGGGAGGGGAGCAGGGCCAGAGACAGGGCCTCAGACTCCCTCTTCCTCGTCCCAGCGAGCCCCTTGGTAAGACGGGAGGGATCCGCTGGCTTCACAGCACATGATCCTTTTTTTTTTGAGACAGGGCCTCACACCCAGGCTTGAGTGCAGTGGCACCATGATACCTCACTGCAACCTCAAACTCCCGGGTTCAAGCAATTCTCCTGCCTTAGCCTCCCAAATAGCTGGGACTATAGGCACACACCACCACATCCAGCTAATTTTTCTATTTTTTTTGTAGAGATGGGGTCTATGTTGTCCAGGCTAGCCTTGAACTCCTGGCCTCAAGTGATCCTCCCACCTCAGCCTCCCAAAGTGCTTGAATTACAGGCGTGAGCCACCGCACCCAGCCTACACACGATGCTTTTATCTCCCTCTCTCCAAGAAGGATGGCAGGACCCATGAGGGAAACAGAGGCCACAGACAAATGGCAGGAAGGGCAGGGCTCCCAGCCCCCTTCGGCTGTGTCCAGCCCCAGCACAAGGAGGAAAGCCCCGAAACCAGACCCTGCATCCGAGATCATCCCACAGAAGAGAAAACAGGGAGTAATAAAGTGTTGACCAAACCCAATAAAGTGACTCTGGTGGGCCTGTCCCTGCCCAACCCCTGGAGGTGCCACACCAGCCCCTGCCCACCTCCAGCCACAAGGCGCAGATTGGGGTGCTCCCCCCCTAGAGCCCAGCCTGCCTGTGCCTGAGGGGAGCGCCCTGTGTGCCGTGTCCAGCAGAAGCATGGGGCCTGGCTGGCCTAGAACTCCGTCTGCACCCCCGCGCTGTCCTCGGTGGTGATGTGGATGGGGGGACGGCCGCCGGGGCTGGACACCTGCTCCCCGGTCTCCTGGTCACTGGGCTTGGGGGGCTCAAGGTCCACAGCCTTTCCAGGTGGGAGGTGCCGGGGCGAGGTGGGTGGTGAGGCGGCCTCGGGGGCTGCCACGGGCTGGGGGATCTCCTGGGCAGGGGCCCCGTTAAGCAGGGGGCTGGCCGGTGGGGGGCTCTCAGCCCGCAGATCCTGGGCCAGCAGGCCACGGAGCTCAGTGACACTGTCTGGGGATGCAGGGGACGGTGGCTCAGGGCCAGCCTCGAAGGACAGCCCTGCCTCCTCATCCTGGACCACAGAGACCACCTGCTTGGCTCGCCGTCGCTTTTCTGAGAGGGTGGCTGCTTCTGGGGCACCGGGGCTGGGGCTGCCGCCGCCCCCACCACTGCTGCTGTCACCATAGTCTTCACCCCAGTCGATGGGCGCACCCTCGGCCAGCAGGTGCAGGTTGGGGTCGCTGTTGTGCATGACCATGCTGTCCCGGTACAGGTTGTGCTTCCTCTGCACTGCGGCCTCCTTCACGGCTGTGGGGCCGCAGGGAGGGGTGGGACATTCAGTTTGGGCACCACGGCTGCCACTGCGCCTATGCCCAGAGGGGGCCCGCCTCATCCCCCCGGGGGTGTCTGTGACTGGGACGTGCGTGACTAATTCCAGGCCTCACTGCTGAAAGTAGCAGGGCTGCGACGCTAACCCTAGCCCAGGCTGTGATGCTGTGTCATCTGCTCTCTCAGCTGACCCTCCCTGCAAAGCCAAGGAGCTGAGAAGAAAGTAAGGCACAGAGATGCAGGGCCACCCTCCTGGGGCCACACAGCTAACTGGGTCGGCCCAGCCCCTGGGTGTAAGTCTCGGGCCTTTCTTTGCACCTCTGCTGACCCCACCAGCTGCCAGCCCGCCTCCGCTTGGCAGTAATAATCCCAATGGTGGTGGCAGCAGGAGGGGGTTAGGGTTT